TTAATGTTTAATGCCGAAACGAAGATGTTTTCATGATAGATTTTAAACACTAACTCGTAATCATGTTCGTGGTTTTCTCTCATCATTATTACTCTTATTTTTATTTTTTTTTTTTGCCTAATTATAGCCTTACACTGTTTAGAGCCTAGAATCCACAACTATGTTATATCATTCCATCCATTTTTAAGCATTACGTTTTAAGAAAATATTTCAAATATTGTATATCGAAGACAGCATTAAATATAGAAGTGAAACATATCCACCAGACAGTTTTGTCCAAATTGAATTCTTCACAGTTGCCAAATAATGTGGCATTAGGCCGTAAGTGCTGGCACAAAAAAAGATAATAATGAAAACACGACGGGCATTACGAGGGCTTGGATTTGAGAGCAGAATCAACAAAAACAACATTAGCGTTTCAGCGAACTCCTCATTCTCGACTTTCCCAAGTAAACACACACTCGCACAGACACACTCTGCGCACCCACACACGCACACCTACAAGGATGCAGGCGCATGTGGATGAAAAGTTGATGGTAAAACTGAAGGAAAAACATCTGAAGTTTGCATGCCACGTATAACGACATGGGAAAACTATAGAAGCTAGAAGAGACCATTTGGGAAATTGAAATATTTTTTTTAAATATGCATACGTATGTATGTATATAAATGGTAATGTATTAAATGGAATTACAAAAATGGACGCTAGCAAAAATATATTATTTTATATAAAATCAGTTTGGTGCCAAACCGAAGTAAATTTTAATGAAAGAGAACGATTAGGAATTTCTTAAATAAATGCCATGTTTAAAGAACGTAAAATCCCAAACAGTCACTTTATCCAACTTAGCATGAAAGTAGGCGAAAATTTCGTTGAAAATGAAAAACCCTTCTTTTTACTTTGCTCAAGACAGAGGCCATCAAGTGTCCCGCCGATGCTGATGTCCTGATTGTGCAAATATTTTACTTAGGCAGGGCAAAAAGTGCAATATGCACGGCAACGGAGGTGGAGGTCAACAAGGGTTAAACAGCCCAAGTGAGAGCAGCAGTAATAACCAAACTGAACCAGCCGAACTGATGGGCGGCAAGTGCAGTGTAAACATTTTCACATTGTCTGCCAAAAATCTGCCGAGCAAACAGTTAATGTGCCTGTCGACAGCAGCAGCAGTAGCAGCAGCAGTGGCAACATGCCGCAAGTTGCCGCAGCAACATGCAACAGTTCGGTTTTTGCGTAGCACATAAAACTTGGAGATACGGCAAGACGGCATTGCAGAGGTCCATACAGCAAAAACTCATAATAAATCAATGGCAGGACGAAGGAAACTTGGTAATGTCATGTTTGCAAATTTATGGCTACTTACATACAAGCGCACAAGCAATAAATACACAATTTATTAGACAAATATTTTGGGGGCAAGAAATTACGTATACGTATGCTTGCCCTGCTAATGATGCACATCTCCACTTGGTCAAATGAGTCCATGTGTCTGTGCGTGTTCAAGTGTGTGCGTGTGTGCGTGTGTGTGTGCTGTCCTATTCGTCCTGTCCAGATGTCACTTCATTTTGAGGGCGTCCTATGAAATATTGAGTAGATCACAAGGCCTTCGGGTATGCCCATCGATTTGAGCCAAATTTCAACCCACTTACGATTAGTCCTGCGGCGCTCGATTCGAAATTCAATTCAAGTTCCATAATGAAAAATGTATCTGTGGAACTGTTGAATGGGTTTCCCGATTTTTTGTGTGTTTCGAGATGGCTTGGCGAAGCATCTTATTTCGATTTTTGCGTTATTTTACGTAGCTCGGTTGTTGTTTGCTACGTGCCAATAAAGCGCCGTCTGGAGTGGGGGCACGCGGCTATTTATGTGGGTTATTCACGCGCACGGGATGTGGACCGCATCCGTAGCCCTTGTGCCCTGCCTTACATACTATACATGTATGTGTGCGTAATTTACTTAGGAAAAGATACAGCAACGGATACGGATACGGATACATGTGGCACAGATACGCGGCTGGCGGACACGCCACTTGAACCCGGTGACGGTCGCCTGGCCCTCGAATGTAGGATGATACCCTGTAAGTCTGGCACAGGACACTTGGACCCTCAAGAAAGACCCTCAACTAAAGCAACTTTTAGAGGTATCGCAATTTCAGAAACGGAATGAAATTAGTCCATATAAGTAGTCCATGCAATTAGCAACTGCATAAATTTATAAGACATATTTAAAGTAAAGCACCGGGTATTTCGGCAGTCCTTAATCCGGATTTATCATTTTCTTGGCTGTTTTCTAACCGCCATTGTTCCCGCGGCAAGTTGAGAGCTCTTGCGATGAGGCTAAAACTTATAATCATGGCATCATCAACAAAATTATCGTTTTGCCACAGACGGCACACACACACATGTGATGGGAAGTGGAGGTCCTGCACAGATACACTCGCCATTTAAGAGCATAAAAGCGGGACGTGCTCGAAATGTGAATTACTCGTGCCCCAAAACCCTCAAAAAAAAAAAAAAGAAAAAAAAATCACACACACTGTTGCACTTAGAGCGGTTGAGAGTGTGTGTGCGTGTTGATTTTGCTCTTTGGCTCCATTTGTGCTCATAACTTAAACTATTTTACACGAACCCAAGGAACATTTACTCGACTTTTTCCTTTGTTTTCCCTCTATGTTGTTCTTGCCCCTTATTTAGTCACTCAGCTTTAGCCAAGCTTTTCTCTTCTTTTTTTTTTTTTGGGTGAGGGAAATTTGCGGATGAGGGTAGAGTTTTGTGGATCTGGCACCTTCAATATCTTTTCCCTCACTTCCCCCAGTTTTTTCTCTTTTGGCAAATTAACAAGCCAGCAGGAGGGTGTGAGAAAAGGCGTCAGCAGCAGTTTCAGCTTCCCTTTTAAACATTGATTTCCTGGCGCCTAGGTACATGGCGCTTGCACTGCGAAAAATGTTTGATGCGATGCCCGTAGGTATCTTTGAATATTCGTAATATTTATATTTTCAAACAGCTTTCAAGCTTTCTTGTGAATATTTTTCCCAGGTGTACAAATGTAATTGAAGCATCGAAGAAATCGCAATTCGCACGGACGCATTTTCTCGCAGAAGGAAACAACAAATAGAGACATACATATACGTATATAAACGTAAATAAATATATTTATATATATGTATATAGTATATAAAAGTAAAAGAGGCGGATTATATGGGGGCGGTGAAAGCTTGGTGAAAAGTGGGCGGTAAGGAGAAGATACGACTGCTCCATTCAGCAGCTGTGAACGGTGAAAACCTTTTTGGCGCTAATTGCAATTACACGAAATATTATTTGCACACATTTCCAGCCAAAGCCGCAATCAGTGCGACAGAGAGGGCGCTACTGCTCGCGAGAGAGATGGCTATAGGCGGTCTGTGCGAGAATAAGCTAACAGTTTAATCAGCTGAACGAATGCGAAATCCCGAGACCACGAACTGAAGGCCAATCCCCGGGATCAACGAGTAAGGAGTGGCCCAAATGAGTGCTATTAATTTAAATGCGGCACTTTAATGAACTAAATGGACTAAATGGCCTGGTACACATTTTGAATAATCTAATAAAAATGCCCCTCCGCTAAGCATTGCCCAACTTATTCATGCTGCTACATTTTCCACCGATAGCCGACCTTCAGAGTGAATAAATAGTCAAAATGCCAACAATGCCAGCATCCATAATGGCATGCGAACCCTTCACAGATTTCTTTTTGCCCGTCTCATCCATTTATTTGCGTACCCAAATCAGCACCTGATACGCCAGGTACTTCCCATTCCCATTCCCACTCCCGCCGCATCTGTCACATTCAATTGCAGTTGCTATGCACAATTGTCTGGCGTGTTGGCCGATAAGCCCAAACCCCATAACCCCTTGACCCCTAGACCCCTAGACCCCTATTCAATCCCCTGTCCCACTGGATCCGCAAACAGCGTGCTATAAATCAAACATCAAAGCGATGAGCCAACTTGAAATGGACTGCAAATTTATGCAGCGACAGCTCTCAGTGCCCGATCCCAAAAAACCCGTTTCCCATTTGAATGGCAGATGGCGGAACAACAGGAGTAAGCCAATCAAAGGTTGGCCCACACGGAGTTCATAAACAAATTTAAAAAGTGTAAAAAAAAATGTAATGCCAGCAAAGTTCAGGCGTTTTAAAAAATTCCAGCGCATTTAATTGACAACGATAAATGTTAGTCTAAGCTGTGTAAAAAGGAGGCATTTTTCACGTGCCTCTGTTTTTGACAAACTAAAGGGATGTTTTTCCCAATGCAGATATGTATGTTCGTTATCCATATGCAAATGAAAGTTTTCATTATAATTTCTCGTATACCTGTTTAGTTTATTTGCGCCTGCATACTATTTACATGCATGCGATAAAGTTGATTAAATGCAAAGTGGCAAGCAGAATTTCATTCCCATTTTTCCTCGCAGCCTGTCGTCGCAAAATATTGAAAAACTTGAGGGAAAACGGGAAAAGCAAAAAATGAACTGGGGGATACGCAAACACGAGTACAGTGTGAAAAACTACTCCACGAGAAAAACAGCAACGCTATACGACTTCTCCAACCTGTTTTATGTCTTCTCGAAGCATTAAGAGGTGAGATAATTTTGAGAAATTTGCTATTTTTATTAAACGCCTAAAAAGTTATAAAGATTTGTGCCAGTGTAGGCGGTCAGCAGCACATATTGCAAAAGTTATGAACAGGAAATGAAACGGAAGCTGACAATATTCTCGAACGACGATGACGGTGATTCATCTAGACCATTTTCATTTCGAGCTCCTTTCGACCAACTGTAGATTTTCCTATTGGTGACTCGTTGATATTGCTGGCGGCAGCTGGTTAATTGGCCCAGAATGTTTTGCTATCGGCAACTGTTTTTGGCCGAGCTCTTTGTTGCACATGGATTCCTATTTTTTGGCATAATTGGCGTAGGAATAAAAGCCGTCGTAGGGCGAAACTGGCCAAGCAGAAGGGTTTGTAATGGCCGCAGAGAAGCATCGCATGTTGTTCCAAGGCCAGGATCCCGGCGAGGATCTGCAGAAACGGCGACCCATGTCCTTGTCGCCATCGGAGCCGCCCACCTACGATGATGCCATGCAAACGCTCTCGACTCTGGACAGTTTGGACCTCCACACCGGCCGTCGAAGAACCTTCTTCGCGGAGCCCCAGCATCTGCGGTCCAGGGTGGAGGAGCTGCCGATGCCCCAAGTGGAAGACGAGGCACTCCAATCGGTGGGTTCATCGGGCTGCAATCACACTGTGCCACCTGTGAGAAGTAACTATGAACTCACATCCAAGCCACTGCATATTTCGCAATTGCCTTTTGCCAGATTTCTTCATGCTGAGCCCGCAACCCAAGCTGGGTAGCCAGGCGATGGACATCGTGTGTCCAGCTTGTGGTCAACGCGGATTGAGTCGATTGAAGAGGTCGCCAAATGGGCGGACCCACCTATGGGCGCTCTGCTTGTGCGCTTTTGGGTGAGTACGGCACTTAAAACTACAAAAATCGTATGAACAAATCAATTGGTATAAAGTATCTTATAAGTGCGAAGTACTCATAGCCAAATGTGTGTTCATTTCAGTTGGTGCTGCTGCGCTTGCTTGTGTCCGTATCTATGGAATGGCTGCCGGACGACCTATCATTACTGCTCCGCCTGCGAGATCTTCCTGGGCGCACATTATCCGCGGAGCTGCTGCCGGCGGCTGTAGGCCGGAAATATCCTGCAGGATCGCAGCCGGAATCCGGCCGCTAATTGTAAAAGTTTTCCGTGTGTGCGAATAAAGCTGAGTGGGCGGCACGCGCTCCTGACCACAAGGACCAAGGACCATGAGGAACACGGTGCCGGGCGCGGCCGGAAATTGTGCGCCGTCAAATCGAATTGCCAGCCTAAGCCCATCGCCCATCGTCCTTCGTCCTCAATCCGCAATCCACCAATTCCACCAACAGCCATACACGATACACCACACACCATTACCATTGCCATGCCCCCGCCCCGTTGCCCAAATGATGCATAACTGGGCAAAACAAATTGCCTAATCATCACTCCGTTTCGCACATCCTGCCGCCGAGAGCGGCATTTGTGGACGCTGCTAGTTAGTTGATACCCTGCCAAAGGAGGACATTCGATTTAGAAACAGTTACGAATATATACTATTGAAAAAAAGATACATTTGCCTATGTAACTTTTATGAGGCCAAACGGAAGTAAATTCCATGCTGTTTTTTGCCAAACTTTATATAAGCCAATGGAGAAGGGTGTCCCAGAATTTGAATAATCAGCGGTGGTTTGGCTTCCAGTTGCGCTTTTTTCGCGTTTTCTGCCTATTTCAGTGCAATGCGCGGCTTTGTTCAATTTTTGGACTGCAATTGGCCAGCGGGGCACCAAATTCAATTAGCGCCTCCTGCGTTGCAGCCTTCAGTGCAACATGGCCTTCGTCGCAGGGGCCAATAACTGTTACTGAAAGCCAGCTAAGGATGGATTGACTAGAAACAAAAGCAGAACTCGGCAATTAGTCGGGTTATGAAGCCGCAACAACAGTTATGGCCAAAAGAGCATTATGGCCGAGCTGGAATAATGTGGAAGCAACAACTCAATCGCATCAAGTATACGCCGCTTTGTCCAGGCGTCGGTTTATTGCCACTGCCATGCTGTCGTAATAACAATGATAATCAAGGCAATAATAATCATACTTATAATAATGCGTACTGATATAACAATGAAAATGAGGTGCCAACGGCTGCTCGTCCCAAAAAGCTGGCCAATTTAATTAGAACAGCTTCTGCTTCTGGCAGGTCTTCTGTTTTTGCGCTTGTCCATTGGTGCCAACAGTAAACAATGCACATCATTTTGTAATATTATATATTACTACGTATAAGGCGACTCAACTTTTGCTGTATTATTTGGGAAATTTGTGCTTTAATTCATGATTTTCCTTAAGTATTTATGTAATTTTGATCATCCGTCCATTTTGGAAATTTCTATATTTTAACAATACTTTTGTTGAGTTCGTTATTCAATCGAATCCATAATCGAGTTTGGGTCAAAAGTCCATGTGCTCATTTTTGGCTTAGTTATGAACAAATTCCAAAAAGCAAAAGCAGTTTTTACAATTTTCCACCTTAAAATAAGCAGTTTTTTGGCCACAACTTTTAAAATAATTGTCTAAATATGGAATGTCATACCTCGTTGGACTCGTAATTAAATTTCCAATCGAGCTGTGTCCAAAAATGGGAATGCTAATTTTTTTGCCATTTTTTGCAAATTTTGATGATGTTACCCCTTACAAAAAATGCGAAAATTGGCCGAAAAATGAATTTCCCAAAATCGGTCAAAAAGTGATATGCGTGGTTAGATTTGGTAATTAGCTACTCAAAACAGTTTTTCTTTCATCTTTGTGATCATTTTTGGCCAAGATATGACTAAAATGCCCATTTAAAATATTTCAATTTTTGCCTAAATCCGTTTTTTCGAATTTCGGTCATAAAATAATCAATTTTTTGGCCACTACTTTGGAAATAATTGTCCAATAATGGAATATCATACTTCGTTGAGCTCGTAATTAAATTTCCAATCAAACTGCATTCAAAAGTTGGAATTGTATTTTTTTTGCCATTTTTTCCAAATTTTGATGATGTTACCCCTTACAAAAAATGCGAAAATTGACAAAAAAATTAATTTCCCAAAATCCATCAAAAAGTGATAGGGGTGGTTAGATTTGGTAATTAGCTGCTCAACACAGTTATTCTTTCATCTTTATGATCATTTTTGGCCAAGATATGACTAAAATGCCCATTTAAAATATTTCAATTTTTACCAAAATCCAATTTTTCGAATTTCGCCCATAAAATAATCATTTTTTTTTGCCATAACTTTTAAAATAATTGTCCAAGAATGGAATATCATACCTCGTTGGGTTCGTTATTAAATTTCCAAACATCTGTATTCAAAAGTTGGAATTATATTTTATTTAGCCATTTTTTGCAAAATTTGATATCACATATACGATAACTGACTAACTATTATCCCTAAATCCATTTAAAAAGAATAGCCTTCGTTAGCGGCGGTTATTTTTTAGCTACATGAATTTGTAGTCAAGTTACTATGCAAAATAAATTCGTAAATATAGATTTCTTGTCAAAATTTGTTTCCCATTTGTAATAGCAGCCGTAGGTGCAAAAAAAAATGCAATGCTTTCGCAGTCCAGCGATTGATTCAATAATTTGCAGCATGAAATTGCTGTTCGCTATCAATATCCCAAGGACAGACAGATCTACCTTTGCGTACTCCCTGTTATTTTGCAGTGATGCCGCCTTCTCTCTGGCATTTAAAAAAGTGCAGCATTTTTTAAGCTTCAATATGCTGGGATATTTACGAATATTTCGTGGATATTTGTGCGTCGTCGATGAGTTGTTAACGCAGCTGCAGATACAGATACAGATACAAATACAGACGCCCAAACTCCCAAAAGGGGCGAACGCTAATCAAATTGCCACACAGCCGCGCAAATCAACTGCAAAATGTTTTAATTAAGAACGGAAGAAAAGGCGGCGGGGCGTGGCGGGGCGGGTCGGGGCGGTGCCGAATGCCAACTACTGAATACGAATTGAGAAAATTGCGAAATTGCAATTGCAATTGCGATGCAAATCGACGCACAGGATCCGCCGGCAACAGCAACAGTTAAGCCCAGCAGCAACATCAGTCCGTAAGCCCGTAATCGTGGCCCAAATGGCAGCAGCAGCAGCAGCAGTAACGGCAGTGGCAATCATGTCCAACTCTTCCTGATCCGCGGGCCACAGGTCATAGTTCACACCGCTGCAACAGTTGCTGCTGCTGCTTAAACCAGCAACTAGCTGCAGCAATGCCAGTAGCGGCAAGTGCAGCAGCTGCACACAACGCTCATTTTGACGAGGTGCTCTTCAAATATTACGGCCCAAAACAAATCAAAAATTGGAAAAAAAAAAACAAATTGAAAAAACCGAATACAGTCAATTTAAAAAACAAAACAGGGCTTAGTATTAAATTTGGTACGAGCAACAGCTAAATTTGTATTAATTCCATTTGTAATTGTCCTTTTGATAGTATTAAATGATTTTTATATTTTATTATTTATAGTATTTTTGCTTAGATGCTTAAATAAATGATTTATTTTTTTTACTTCTTAAGTATACCAAATTAACCACCTTTTCATAATCTCATTTCAGTTATCAAAGCAACCACAGGCTACATCAATTGATCGGCAGCGAAATCGAGCAGCAACAGTTGCGGCTTCTGTCCACTAAAAGCGATTTTGGAAAACACCAGGGATTGCCAAAGGCTATTAACCATTATCCATTAGCCCCCATTTTCGAGGGAGCAGCCCTACACCCCTTGGAAAAGCAGCGCCGCCCGAAAACTTGCCTCACGTAGCCAAGCAAATGAACTGCAACTGACTTCTGGCAACTGCAACTGCAACTGCAACTGCCGCGCACCTTGTGCCCCCATTCGCCGCTTCGGATATTGTGATTTCAGATTTTCCGAAAGGCGCAGGCGTCGGGCGACACACAGGACTCGAAGTCGAACTCGTAATAGGACTCGGATTTCGCCGATGGCGAACCCCATTCACCAAAACAGAAGTTCGGCTCCTGACGGGTACGTGCGGCATGTTGCAAGTTGGCAACTGTCGACTGACAAGGCTATATGAGTGTATGGCAGCGCATTTGGTGGCTCAATTGCGCCTCGCACGTTGGCCAGGCAGCAGCTCCTTGCGGCTACTACCGACGACATCGGCTGGAAACGGCAACCGAAAAACCGAGAATATCCTTCGTGGCCGGCTTGCGAATTACGCGTAGTAAGCTGAACTGAATTGAATTGAACTGAAACACAACAGAACTCACAAATTGCGGAGGCTTTGCCGGCTCGATTGTGTTTGGTGTTTGTTTTTTGTGTTTTTGACAGTGTTTTCCTGCAGTTGTTGTCGTTGGGAAAGGAGGTCCTGTTCGAGTACAGTATTCCCACCGGCGAACCGCGCGTTATTTCCGCTTCCGTGTGAGTGCAATTAGTGGGCGGCATGGCGGCGCATTGCCGCCGCTACCGCAGTCGCAGTCGCAGGCCCAAATGCTCCAAGACAATGTCACTGGCGGCTCTGATTTTGGGTTTGAGTCTAGTGGTGGTAACCCTGGCAGCCGGAAATGACGCCATTTCCGCGCCGAAAGCGGTAAAGGATCAGCCATCGGAGATGGAAGATGATGGCGCAGGGCGACCGGACAAGGATTTTGACTTTACCGCCTATGTGAATGGTGAGTGTTTGTGCGGATACTTTTTCCTGGGGTGATTCTTCATCTTTATCTGGTGAGCTGACCACTTGGGAATTCGACTGGCGACTCAATCACTTTCGCTTCCGCTGTCGCAGCTGGAAAATGAAAATTAGCCTGCCAATTCTCCACAGAGAGATGCAGCCAGAAAAGCAATTTGAGTGCTCAAAGTGGTCACAAAACAATTGAGTGTTTGGCTGCGGCAGTTTCAAGCTTTTAGCCGCAAGTACATTTAATTTGATTGGAAAACTTGGCCATAAGTGAAAGGGGAAATCGGCTATAATGGCAGCGGCGTGTGGATAATTGAATCAACCACTTTGTATTTCTCAACAGCTAGGGAGCATTTAGCAATTATTTTCGATTGGACGTTGTGGTAATGCAACGGCACAAATTACACACTAAATAAACAAAAGACAAAGGTAACTAAATTAAATTATAAGGCTGTTTTGTGTTGCCAATAAGTAAGAGACTAATTTACATATCCATGAACCGATTTAAATCAGGCAAATTCATTTAACAATTAGCAAAGTTAGGGAATTTGATAGAAAATATTAAAATTCATTGAGCTTAATTTCTTAGATCAATTTAATTAAAACCACAATAACACATGTTTGAATTTATATGTGTATAATACAAATACTAAAATAATTCCCAGTTTCTACTCACGACCTAAGCAATTTTCGAACTAGTTGATTATTTGGCGAGCTATTAAATATATTATTCTGGTCATGGAATAAACACATCAATTTGGATCCTTCACCGTATGCAAACAAACTGAAATCCCCTCGAGCTGCACACTTCAATATTAAATGGTTTTTGAGCTGGCCAAATAGCCGAACAGTTTCGTGTTCATGATAACTTAGTGGACAATGAACTTTATTTGAAGCGCTCCATTTCAATCAAAGATTTTCCAAATAATTTCCCTGCTAAAAATTGGTAAGCTAACGATATCTAAATCGCTTGTGCAGCACTTTAGAGAATTTCATGTTATATGAGCCACTATCAGATTGTCAATTACGAATGGAGGCATATATATTACAATTGGCACACATGCATATATGTCTAACTGAGATAAATCCAATGATATGTCGTCCAAACTGTTTGGTTTGCTTTGCGAAAATTGCAATTTAAATGTAGTTAACTGTGTTCCCATGTGTGTCTGTGTGTGTGTGCTTTGCCACTTAACAGCTACACGAAAGTCACACAAACATTTCGAATGAGGGGGCGAAAAAGGGGAAAATGGGAAAAAAGGCAGACTGACCGCACTGACAAACATTTCGAAACGTAAAATTTATTTATACCACTTGTAACTGCAAAAAGTAATTTTGTGGAAATCACAAAATGTGTGTGTGTGTGTGTGTGGGGGGGAGCGGGGGAAAGAGAGCCACACGCAAATAACCAGAATGCTCACACTGCGTATTAGTAATCCGACTGGCAAGCAATTGCGTTGCTCATACGCAGTGTGGGTCGCCCACGGCCACCCCAAATGTATGCTATAGATTTTCGCATGTCAATATGCTTAGCCATCCGACCCACTGCAGTGCACCGCTGTGATTCCTCATCCATTGAAAAGCAATTAAATCGCACAGGCACACGATAGTAATACAATACAATAATTGCAAGTGCCGCACTTTCGAATGTGTCACCTTTCGGTGGCAAGGGACTGCCATAACTTGTTGCACCATCGATGTTTAGCCACTTTATCATACCGATGAGATGCGTTTACACTTTAAATAGCCGCCGGCCAAAGGTAACACTTGCAACCTATTGCTTTTGACATGCCTTTGCTTTTGTTATTGCTATTGCTGCTTTGCTGCATCCGTTTAGCCGTAAATTATATCCCGATAAGAGAGTGTGGGTGTGCCACGTGGCTTATGTCAGGAGTACGTGTGTGTGTGTGTCCTATGTGTGTGGTGCAGGTGCGGCTTTGTTTGTAGTACCCTGCAAATCCCAAACTCTCGGGTAGACTCGCTGGTGGCCACAGAAACAAAGCGAACATGTGTGATTTTATTGATTTCATTCCTTTCATCAAACTGTATGCAGTTATTTAATAGCACATCCATGGATTTGCTACAATACAATACCACATCAAACGTGTTTCATTACAAAGAGCTGCCTTATAAAGTACTCAGTATCTTTACCCTCGACCCTTGCGATTGTTATCTAAAAATGCTTTTGTTTATTTTTGGCTGAATGCTAACATTTCGCTGATTTTACAACCGCGACAGGCAGCGTCGACAGGAAAAACAAAAAGACAGAAAAAAAAACGAAAAGGGCCAAAACCCATAAAGTGGTTTGCTCGCAAAGTTCGAAGAGGTGAATTGTGGAAACCATCCTCGTTTGTTGGCCATCATCGACGTCCATATGGTCCATTTCTAAGCCTGGCCATAAACCGTTTGTTTGCCTTTTTGTTTGTTTCTGGCCTTCTCTTTAAACTTGTATTACTTTGTTCTGTAGAAGCCACTCTCTTACTATAATAGCATTAAATATTATCGCACTATAGTGAAACTTAGTAAAGAAAACTTTCAAGTGCCTTGAAACAGCGATGAACATGTATTAAATCATTAAATAAAACGCTATGTAAATGATATTTTAAAACAGTAAATCCATAGCAAGCCAGACTTTTAATTTAGGTAAATATTCATGTATTAGCGTGAAACAATTCCTACCTCCTGTGAAAGTTTCAACTCGCGGTAACTTTTATTGTTGGCGCAATTCACTACCACTAAATTCATGGCAACTGCTGCATTTGGATAAACTAGAAGTTTTTTCTGGGAGCCAGCTTTTTGTCGTATTTTTCCCCTGCCTCTCATTGTTGTTCTTTCCGTGCTGTCCATAAGCAGATAATCAAAAGTAAATAAAAGCATTTTCCATTGTGTGAATCGCAGGCGGAAGGGGAAATCCCCGCCAAAGGAGACAGATTAAATATATACGCGTGCATCTCAGCGCACAGGAATATTTTCAAATGCCGCAGGCCAGAGGCGAAATTAAAAGGGGCTTGTGCTCAGCCTTTTCGGCTTTTTATGAATTATTTCGTAGCTCATTAACAAAAACACGTTTAAGTACTCAAATAATCAAGGGTTTTTTTTTTCTTTTGGTTCCCCTTGCAAAACTTTTCCCAGTCAGTCAATCCAGCTGACTCATGTGTGTATTTGCTGGCATGGATAGGTAATTATTCCGACGATTATTGGGATTTGTTTTGAAGGGCGCCCGGAGAGGGGCATTTAATTAAGTCTGAAGACACTTTGATTGAACCAATTAAGAGTCTAATCATATTAAACAAGAGAACGCAATCGGCCTGAAACACCCGAGTGTCCTTGATTGCTGGAACTCCTGCGTATTGGCATTTGTTGGTTAATAAGAAATGCATTAATTAAGTCTACGACTGGTAGGATTTTATGGGAAAATGTTTCGCAGTGCTCGAGTTTTTTTAAAGAGTTGTAAGTACGTTTACTATTTTATATATTCCGCCTAAGCACATCTATCTAAATGTGAAGACGTCTTAAAAACTCTTATTTTAAAACTCTTTTAAGGGCTTCTAAACCTTCAACTGTGTTGTGTGAATTTACGAAAGTTCTGGGAAAACTCTGATTATTTATTACCTATTAAATTTTACTGCAGGATTTCTGCCCAGTGGTGAACGATACTTTAGCGTTAATAACTCAACGTTTTGATTTGATTTGTTTGCCTGGCCAACTAATTTTCATTTGAGCATTTGTTTATTATTAAGTAAGAGGTAGGGATTACAGATAATTTGTTGATTCACAATTTGTGTGCTGTCAAAACAGGGAGCATATCAAATGAAATCAATTCGTTTTTCATGCGTGCGAGTTCCTGCGACCAGCCAAATTTAAATTGAAACGGTCATTTATATTAATAAAGTTTTCATAAATGAGCAATGAATCGTGCATGTGAATACGATCCTACGTGCTTTTGCAGACTGCTTAATTGGGCATAAGACGCAGGAAGCCAGAAACTTTATGCCACAATAGCCACACACACACACGCACACGCAAAGCGCCTTCATTATGCAAAGGATCCTTTATGTCCTTGTTCCCCGGCTAAAGACACAAAGTGCTGAGAAGTCGACCCAGTGGTACTCCACTCATGTGTATGCAATCTGTCATACACTAATCGAGTGCAAAGTGCTCCCTTGTCTGGCCGCCAATTAATAATCCTTCTAACCCAATGCACTTGTCATCCGAAATTGTCCATACTCACTCAGCTTAATTACCCAGCAGTGCATGCCAGGTCTCATATGACAGCAATGCACTGCGAAGAATTGTGGGGTGATAAGCTGTAAAACACTACGATAAAGCGCGGCACATTAGGGATGATTTAAGCAGTCCATTTAAGCAGTCTTCATAAACAGGGCTTGTGCCATTAAGCAAGCTATTTCGCTCAGTGCACTCATGCCTAACAAATTATAGGCCAATTGGGCACTCCCACTTTGGATCCGATTCCTTTATGCATTCGGCTGGGGATTTATTTTTATATGCCGGTCGTTAGGGATAAAATACACCATCCATTTTAGCCGGCGCTTTTATCGCTCGCATACTTTGCAACTCTCGCATCCTTCGTCCTGCGACTGGATGCGTTAAGAGCTTGACTTTGTCCGGGAATCGCTCCAAATGTCGTCGTCATCAACGTCTTGCGCTCTTTTCCTTGCTGCTGCACTGCACCCACCAAGATAAAGCCACTGAGCAGCAGATCTGAAGATGGGAGCTGAGCAGCCGTGGAGCTGTGGAGCTGGAGCAATGGTGGGACCTCCTTAAGTGCTGGCTATGCCCGGAACAATTTGGCACCACATTGCGTATGATTAATATAAATTGTTTGGACTTCATTCCCGCTGGCTTCCACCCTCTGCCCCTCTCACTTGCATTCCCATTGACACTTTATGAAGGCAAATAGCAAGTAGAATAAGAAGTCTTGAATTTGCGAGCACTTATAGGAATTGCTGCACGCTTTTGGTACAGTGAAACGTG